CTATTGTTATATCTTCTTGATGGATTATTAATATGTAATGACCTTCTTTGTGGTTTCTCTGACCAATTTTGGCTTGAAGTGATTTTGTTGGTTATGGGTATAGGTACTTCTGTTTTCTTTTGAATTCCATTTGATTGGAAAATATCACCCTCCGTCCTTTCCCTTTCAATCTGTGTATGTCTTTGGCAGTCAGGTTCTGGCAGACAGCAAATAGTTGGGACTTGTTTTTTAATCCAAACTGTTATTCTGTGTATTTTAATTGGAAAATTAACATCTTTCACATTTTGGCTTATTATTGAAAAAAGCATACTAATTCCTGTCATTTTGTTGTTTTTCTTTCAGCTGTTTTAAATACTCTGTGTTCATCCTTTTTAAAAATTCATTTTGATGATTTAGTGAAATGTTTTATTCTTTCTTCTCTCTTATTTGCTTCACTGTTCTTCCAGTGAAATTTACTTTTCCCCATGCTGTTACTGTTGTGTTTGTCTTGATTCACTATCTGACTGTACAATTCCTTTGAGTATCTTCTTCTATAAAGCTGGTTTAGTGGTCATGAATTCTTTTAGTTTAGGATTTATTTTTTCAGAGCTTAACATATATTTTTCCATGGGTTGCTATTAATGAATTTCCACTGGGGGGAAAAAAAATGAATTTCCAAGGAAAAACTTCTGTTATACAGATGGCATTGCCTTTATAAATGATTTGATATTTCTGTCCTGCAACTTTTGATATGCTTTCTTTGTTGCATACTTCTGGCAATTTAACTTAATGTCTCTGCTCAGATCTATTAGAGTTCTAAATGCCTCCAGTACCTGGATGCCAAGAGTTGGGAAATTTTCTCTTATTTTTCTAAATTGGTTCCCTATACCACTAACCCACACTTCAACTCCTTCATATAAACCTGTAACTCTTAGGTTTAGTCCCTTAATGTGTTGTCATTATTTTGTTTTGTGTTTTTTGAGACAGGGTCTCACTATGTAGTGTAGGCTGGCCTTGAATTCACTGTGTAGCCCAAGCTGGCCTCAAACTCACTGCAACCCTCCTGTCTCAGCCTCCTGGGTGCTGGGATTACAGGCACACACCACCACACCTGGCTGTTGTCATTATTACTGTCTAAAATGTACTAGTTCATTCATCTTGTCTTCAAACCCCAATATTCTTTCTTTCATTTGATCTTGTCTATTAGGCTTTCACTTGAGTTTTTTATTTGAATTATTGGGTTTTCATTTCCAAGATTTCTGTTTCTTTTCAGAACCCCTCTTTATTGACTTGCTCTTTCATATCCTGCAGTATTGCCCTTAATTCATTCAGGTCTTTTTTTTTTTTTTTTATCTTCTTTGAATTAATTGTCATGGCATATCTTTGGATTCAGCTACTAAAGAGCTACAAAGTTTTGGAGAAGTCATGTTGCCTTGTTTAGTCTTTTTCTTGCATTTCTATATTGAGATTTGTGTATCTCTTGGAATGAGATCTTCCACTGTCATGTGAGGGCCTTGTTAGTGAGCAGCTTTCTCTTAACCTTGTGCCCAGGGATACTGGTTTATTGTGTAGTGTTGTGTTTGATTCCAAATGGACTTCATATTGTAGTTTCCCTATGGCTTCTTAGGCTGTGATTGCTGGATGTGATGCTGTGCATACTGTGTTGGAACCTCTGGGACCCACGTCCTCTGTAGGACTCACATGAATGAGGGCCCTCTAGTAGATCGGGTAGGTATGTGGACAGCGGAGTACATGAGGTGTGCTTTCTTTGGTTCAGTCTTGTTAGCACTATGAGTCTGAAAGAGTGTAGGAGTGACCTATGTTAGGGCTCTTCTACCTGGTAGGATCATTATGTTTATATTATTTTTTTCTATTCTTGGTGAGGAGGTGCATTTTAGTAGGTATTTTCAGATTTCCCCTACCTATGTCTATTTCTAGCCTAGTCATTACCTGGGAACTTTTGTCTTTTTTTTTTTTTTTTTTTTAGTATCTGATGAAGTTTCAGCAGGACTAGGTCATGGATGGAATAAAGTGCAACTTCTCTCACCTGGGCTTGGTCTATGGCTCAGTAGCAAAATACTCATTCTTCATGTTCAAATGCTGGCTCAATTGCCAGCACTTTTGCAAGAGGTGAAAACAACTGACAATAACAAAAATAACTTAAAAGCAGACCAAATGTAGACATATAGTAAAAACCTAATTATAGACAACATCTCTACCACCAATAACCACAGAGAGGAAAAGGCAGAAAATAGTATGAAATAGACTAAAAGGATTAATGTTAGTGAAGGAAAATTAATAATTAAAAAGGGAAGAAAAATTAGGAAGAAAAAACACCAAAGAATTTAGAAGTATGTAAAATTACATAAAACTATGAAAGAAATAATGAGGAAAAACAAAACAAGACAAAAACCAAAGTCAAAGTTCCTCTTTTCCAATGGGCATGGTGGCATGCGTGAATAATCTTCACGAATCAGAAGGCTAAGGCAGGAGGACTGCAAGTTTGAGTCCAGCCTGGACAACTTATGAGACCCTAACTCTAAACAACTTCTTTTTAGGGCCGAGGATGAAGCTTAATAGGAGAGCACTTGCCAAGCATGCGTCAGTCCCTGGGTTCCATCCCCAGTACCAAAAAACAAAACAAAACAAAACAAAACAAAGAAAACCAGCCTCCTTGCTGAGGTATTTGAGCTGTTTCTTTCCAGAGCCCCTAACCCTAGAATTAGCCAGCAAGGGGCAGGGTGAGGGGAGTTGGTCCTAGTTGCAGTCTGGCGTGTTGCTTCCCAGTCCTGGTCAAACAGGCTAACCCAGAGAAGAGGGCAGTTTGGAGGCTGAGTCCCGCCTGACTCACTCCTCAGAGCTGAGGCGGTGCTGTCTGCAGCAGCCATGTTCACTGCAGAGGTTTCTGTGTTGCACCAAGGGACACAGTGACTGACTGTAGGAGCCGCCCTGTGGGCCCTTCTTTCTGGTCGTGCCGGTGGCCCAATTGGGTCAGCGCACCCAAGGGTGTGTCATATGCCCAGGCCATGGTGTTGTATCCTCTGAATGCCTCACAGTGGAAAAAGAACCAAACCTGCATCATCAGTGCTTGGGGGAAACCTTGGGAGAACTGTGTGGGGCGTGGGTCTGGATGAGTCCCCGCACACAGCTGGTCTTGTTCCTCCTCACAGAGGTTGGACCACCAATTTTAAATTGAAGGGGAGCGATTCAGACCACCCTATGGCAACACAGAGCTCTCTGCATTTGTGTTGTGGGCCTTTCCTTGGTCCCGCAAGGTCGTGCTTGGGTCTTAGAGGAAAAAAAAAAAAATTCAGGGGCTTCTGATCCCCCAGCAGTAAATTCACATGGTAGGACTTTCTTAAGGTGGTTCCCAGTTACACCCTGATTGCATGGGAATTGTTGGGTACCTCTTGTTACACCAGCTCGCTAGGCTGATCTCCTGGCTGCTGAGGCCATGTTTACAAGGTGCTGGATTCTGCACTTGCAGAGCTCACTGGGCTCTGGCTCTGTCACCTCCGTCCCTGCACTGGGAGCACCCCACAAGCGAGTGCTTTCCAGCATCTGTATTCAAGCCCCACACACACGCACCACCACCACCAGGAACACATCACCATAGTTACACACTTGTGTTCGATCTCACAGCCATGTAAGTATATGCTGGATGTCTCTAATCTGCCGGCTTCTTATCCTCTTTTTTTTTTTTTTAATGCAAGAGATCTGTTAAGTGACACACCTAATCCTGAGTGGACTTGCTGGGTGGGAAAAAGAACAAATTAGGTTTAGAGAATTATATTGCATCTGTAACAAGACTATGAGCAACTGAATTAAAAGCTCCCACCAAGTGCTGTTATCGTGGCTTATTTTCCCTGTTCTCTTTGCCTCTAGTCCTTCCGAGAGCTGGACCTTCACTCCCTGCCGTCGCTGATTCGGAAGCTGGCAGCCGAGCAGGCCCTGGCGAGCGCCCCAGCGGGTCCCCTGCAGGCGGCGGAGACGGGGAAGCCGCGCCCGCAAGCTTGTCTAGGGTCCCGCGCCGGGTTCGTTAGGAAAGCCATTGTACAAAGCTTCACTTCTACCCTAAAGAAACAAAACGTTGACCCTCACGTTTTATTTTCTGCTTGTTTCTGAAGTTTGCAGCACCTGGAGAAGAATGACCCTTGTTCCGAAGACAGTAACTTAAGGCCGCGAAGACTGGTTAAAACTACTCTGCGCTCACACACACGGTCCCCTGCGTGGTGCGAGTGCGGGGCGGAGGCACTTTTTTCTCGGAGGAGCCTGCGTGAGGCGGGATGGAGCCTGCAACCGCGCAGCCGCACCCGCAAGGCTGGCGCTGAAAGGCAGCAGCCAGGGCCCGCGCGCGCTTGTGGAGGCGGCCAGCGCAGAGTGAAGCTAATTCTCCCTCCTCGCGCTGCGGGAGCCATGCCCAGCGGGGAGCCTGCAGAGGACAGAGGCTCGAGCCCCCGCCTGGGGGCGCCCTACGCCGAGGCCTGGGGCTACTTCC